TTTGCTTGGTTTTATTTTTGCTTTTTTTGTTGTTTGCGTTTTGAGTCAGAACTTTGAATTTTCAATGATTTGTTTATAACTTGGACTAAACAAGTTCTCAAGTTCAATGATTTGGTTGCAAAAATGTTATCGACTCACTTGAAGTTTATCAGTGAATTTGTTTTCATCATGTCATTTGACCTAACGACTTACGTAGTGCACAAGTCATTCTTTTTGAAGCTTGAAAGCTCCAGTCCTCTATTGATTCTAATTGTGTGGAAAAGAATGGCCAGTACATTATTAAAATTGTCCCCTTATAAAATAAATATTCACAGAGGTTTGGAACAACATAAGGGTGAGTAAATGGTGACTTGGGTGAACTAATACATTAACTAGCCTACTAATATTGTAAGCATTAGGGATATGCCGGTATCAAATTTTCATGTTGCGATTAATTGCTAATGCTTTTATCACGGTATACGGTATTATTAACAACGTGTTATTAAATATTGGAATACCCAAGATTATTGAATGTTCAGAAGATTTTTTCATTGGCAGTTTATGTTAAATAATGAATTAACTAATGTTAAATAATGAAGCCCTAATGTAAAGTGTGACGAACAGTAAAGAATCAAAACTTTCAAACAATATCTAGGGCATGTTGTAGTCCAGATTAAAATGTAAAACAAGTTTGAAAATAAATAGCCTATTAAGTCTAAATATTTAAGTATTTGGCTCTGTGATGAACATCATAGCAAATACACAAATCTGAATGGCTGTTTCAATCATTTAAACACGATTCAGAAACAGAAAGTAGAGCAGCTGCTTTGTTTACAGGGTTTCATTTAAATGAATTATTATTATTATTATTTCTGCAGTTTAGCGCCATCTGCTGTCAGAGAGTGAAAGTGCGCTTTCATCCAGAGCGTCTCTCACATGTTCCACCATGTGCTTCTCGTCCGCGCTTGTTTACATCAGAGTGCGCACGCGTCTTTCACGCAGCATATGGCGGTGTTGTGCATTTTGACCAGTTGATGGGAAAAGTATTCTTAAAATGCATTCAAAATTCTGAATAACTTGTAATATATAATTATTCACGGTATTTAGAAGAGCCCACGATAACAATACCCTGCATATTCATTACCGTGATATATCGTATTACCGAATACCGGCACAAGTCTAGTAAGCATTATATAATGTTGGATTTAACCGATCTTCTTGGAGAATCATTCGAGAGAGGCAGAGGAAAGCTGTGTGGGGGCACATTTCTGGGATTCAATAGCTATCACGTTTTTCATGTCTTCTGATTTAGACTACACATGGGAGGTGAAGGCTGTGACTGCACACTAAATTCAGAGGTGACCTTTAGCTGTGATTTGGCACAAGCCTCAGTGGAAATTTGATTTCGGTTTTGTTATGTCCTGCAATTGCCAGGAGGCCACACTGTGTGATGGAGACATGTTGTGGTGTGCCTTGTGTATCACAAGGCCATGTGATAGCTTGAGTAAATATCAATGTCCCTACTGCCTGTCCCAGAGTGTGCAAATCATGAATGCATGAAACAAACATGTGGGCATGATATGAAAATATAACCGAGTTTATGAATCATGAGATAGCTTTGAGCTTACCAGTGCCATACGAGCCTGACTGTGATTTAGAAACAATCTGTGAGATGTTCATGCTCTAAATTGTGCTGATTGATGAAACATGCATTTTGAAAGTGTGTTGAGCCATGTGTAAGGTTGAAGGCTCTTTATGTTATTACAGCACCAGACACTAATCAGTCATTACTCAACCATGTAATATTAAATGTGGCTTCTCCTGTAATTATGGGCCTGCTCTCTCCCCTCTCTATCATACATAACTAAGAACCCGTGTCTAAAGGAGAAATTAAAGTCAATATCACACAATACGTTTCAAAATGATCATTTATTTCAATGTACTAAAATTACCCTCCACCAGATGTGTTTCACCATCACAAATCACCAGTTTCATCCAAAGCTTATATCACTGTCATATACAATTATAGTGCATAGTGGCGGGGGACTGTCTCTCAAGTGCTTAATTGAATCTGTACAGAAAGAATGATGCAAAAATTTTACCATAATATTGAGGCTGCACTGCTTCCAGCACTGTTGCTGAAACTTACATCAGAGATTCATATGGGAAGCATGCTTAATGAAGTTTTTACAGTGGGATATAATATATTTTTTGCAAGGTTCTTGTAAATGTATGAATAGAAGCATTTATCAGAGTAGTACAGTGACATTCCAATTTTGAGATGTACAAAGTATAATGCTAAAATATCATTTAGTGGATATGGGTACTTTAAAAATATAATATAATATAATACAATATAACAATAATTTTATCATGATATAATATCATTATTCATATGCTATATATATATATATATATATATATATAGTGTCAGTAAATACTTTTACATTATTTTCATATTTTTTTCATTTGTTAAAAAAAATATTTTTTTCATTTAAGAATCCACAAAACATTAAGCAACTGTTTTCAATATTGATGATAATAAGAAATTATTATTGAGCAGCAAATCAGCATATTAGAATGATTTCTGAAGGGTCATGGATTATTTCACATTATTAATGTGTTACTGTATCACATTAAAGAGGCTTCATTCAATCACAAGAAAAGTGTTTACAAAGGTACAGAGGGAGAGAGAGAGAGCGAGAGAGAGAGAGAGAGAGAGAGAGAGAGAGCGAGATAGAGAGAGAAAGAGAGAGAGAGAGACTCACCATTAGTGAGTCACTCATTAGTGTTTCAAAACCATGCCACCCGAATATTTGAACTAATCATTTTTTCTGTATGCAAATGTTACAATGACATCACTGTTGGCTGTTAGATTTGTGGTGTTTTATCAGTGTACGTCAATGGGACTTGCTCTTTAATTAGGGTGCTTAAGCTGATCTGAGATCTGCTGCAGCACAGTTGCTTTGTAATCGTTCTTGCAGTCGCTGGCCAAGGTGCTGAACATAATTAAATCATCTCATGCAGCAGAAACGGGACTTCACACCTATAGTATCCTCCTTTGAGCCTTTGTGTATTTGTTCCCATGGAAATGTAGCAGTTTATTACTCTAGACTTTGATTTGGAGAGGCATGCATGTTTTTATGCAGTTTTTGAAGAAGTCATATTCCCACAGGCTGGCTTACTAATTTGTGTGCAAAGTCTGCAAAGTTACGCTGCATTCATTTGCACAGAGTCTGAGTTGACACCGGAGGCTGTGAAAATAACACTCATGCCTGCCAAAACGGTGCCTGAGCCAGATAAAAAAGAAACCCCAAAAGCGTGATATTCATTTTTTTTTTTTTTGGGGAATATTAAATGGATGGTGACAATGTGTTAGTGACACTATGGAACCACAACGCTGAAAGCATTAAATTAAGTCCAGTGATTAGTTTTCTGTGTTTTAATGAATGACTAGGATAAGAAGAAGAAGAAGAAGAAGAAGAAGAAGAAGAAGAAAAATAAAATAAAATAAAATTAGTAGTATTCTTTTTTTTTTTTTTAAGTGTTGACATTAAATGTATTTATCCTCAGGCTATCCACGATGTAGATGAGTTTGTTTCTTCACCGGAACAGATTTGGAGAAATTTAGCATTACATTATTTGGTCACCAGTGGATCCTCTGCAGTGAATGAATGAATGAATGAATCTCTCTCTCTCTCTCTCTCTCTCTCTCTTTCTTTCTCTCATAATCTCTCTCTCTCTTTCTTTTTTTTTGGCCTTATAGCATCCACTGCAAAACATTCCCAGGAGCACAGCTGCACTGAGTAGAAGAACAATGATTATCTATGCCAGCATTACAGTTAAAACATATACATAAAACACACACACATATACAGGTGCATCTCAATAAATTAGAATGTCGTGGAAAGGTTCATTTATTTCAGTAATTCAACTCAAATTGTGAAACTCGTGTATTAAATAAATTCAATGCACACAGACTGAAGTAGTTTAAGTCTTTGGTTCTTTTAATTGTGATGATTTTGGCTCACATTTAACAAAAACCCACCAATTCACTATCTCAACAAATTAGAATACTTCATAAGACCAATAAAAAAAAAAACATTTTTAGTGAATTGTTGGCCTTCTGGATTCTGTTAACATGCTTGGATACAGCACTCAGCACTCATTGCCAGCTTCTTTGGCAATGAATGTTTGTGGCTTACCCTCCTTGTGAAGGGTGTCAATGATTGTCTTCTGGACAACTGTCAGATCAGCAGTCTTCCCCATGATTGTGTAGCCTAGTGAACCAAACTGAGAGACCATTTTGAAGGCTCAGGAAACCTTTGCAGGTGTTTTGAGTTGATTAGCTGATTGTATGTATAGTTTTAGTCAGTTTTAGTACCATTTTAATATGCAATGGATTATCAAAATTAAGACAACACAAAGAACATAATATTTTCAGGAAATTATTATTATTAACATAATTTAACGAAAAAATGTAAAGTTACTGTATAATGTCAAAAATAAATAAAATGAGCAGCCCTATCCACTTTTTGTTTGTATAAACATTAAAATACTAATATTAAAAATGATGGTCGGATTTTAAACAATCAAAAAATATTGGTTTGGTGACTTACAACATAACACGTTATCTACTAGATTTGACAAAAAGTAAATAAATAAATAAATACAAAATTATGAAATGATAAACCTCACATTTCAGTCTTTAACTCACTTTAAGAGAAGGATCAAAATCATAAATTATAGAGATTTTAGAGTTGAGATTTTTAGAATGCACAATAGCTTGTTTTACATCTACAGGTTAAGATTTACAACAAAAAATCGATCCGATTTTCGCATTGGTCTGAACAAAACAGGCAGACGGGCTGAATGAAAATGTAACTCCACTGTCTGACAGCAGGTGGCGCTGATGGAATAGCAGAAATAGAGCGGTTTCCTCGGTAACCGCTGTAAATAAAGCAGCTGAGCTTTTAAACACTGCTTTACTAGGCATTACTGAGGGAAAATGAAAAGCAAATATCATAGAAACAGTCAGTTCTCCCTTATGCATTCATAGAATTAATTAATTCATACATTCTTTCATTTAATTTCTTTCAGCGCTCTGCCTTCATTCATGTTTTCACACAAAACGAAACCTACGCTGCATGTTGCACCTGCGTGAAACTGTTAATTTTGCTTAATGCTGAACAGTATTTATCTCAAGTTTTACCACATATTTATAGATTAATCCTTACTAAAGATTTAGTCAATTCAGTCAAGAGCAAATTTGAGCAGAATTATTTTTCTTTTGCTCTTTAATATTAATAACACAGACAGCAAGCTGCTCTCACTTTCAGACCGTTCTGACACACACATCAGATTTTCTCAGTTTACGGAAAAAAAAATTTTTTTTAAACTTATTTAAGACCAAAATGGCCATTTTTATTTAATTTTGTGTGTATTTGGCTGTTTAAGCACGAAAAGAAAAGTGAACTCATCTCTGTAATGGTGCGCTGTCAGAGATACGGCTCCCTATGTGCGCGCACATAAAATAGCTCTCAAGTACCGAATTTAGTTCTCTTTCGCAATTTCTTGCGCTTGAACGGTTTAAAATCTTTTGAATGCTTAAATTGGTAAAACTTAAAAACACAAGCATATGATAAACTTTCGTGACGAGTCAAATTCGGGGTCTAATTCGTGACGTGGTAGCACTTTTTTTTTACCACTAGTTGCATATAGCTTTCTCGAGCACAACGTGCAGACTAGTAGCTAGTTCTCTTAATTTCTTACACCAGCTACCAAAAGGCTTGTCGTTCTGCCTATTTCTTCTATCCACGCCCAGCGACATTTATTTTTAAGTCCTTTATCAATTACGATGTCTTCCCCAGACTTTATAATCTTACTTTCCATCCTGCCGACTATATGTCTCCGCTCCGGTGTACCGACGAAACATGCTACCTATCAGATTGTGCTACCAAAAATATATTTACATTGTTTTAAGGGTAAGTTTAGGGTAAGGGTAGGTGTGGACTGGTAAGCTTAGGATAGGGGTAGGTATGGACATTTAAAAAAGCCTCAAACCACATGAATAAGATGCTGGTAGCACAATCTGATAGGCAGCATTTTTCGCTATCGATTTGTGCTACCTATCTTTTTTAATGGGAGGTAGCACAATCTGAGCGGGTAGCACAAATCGTTAGAACACCGGAACACTTTAATCCCTGTATATAACAGCGTGACTTCCACAGTACTAAGTGGACACTTATGTTCCCAGCATGCACTTCGGCATTACATGCTGTTGCTTTTGTTATAACTTTTAGCTCGTTGTTTTATAATATCAATAGTCAGGCTTTGTATGCTGAGCGTTGACGTGTATCTGCCTTGTTAACAACCAGAAATAACAACGGCTCACCATAATAGCGCTACAATTATCTATCGATTTATTAGTAATTTATTATGACAGAAAAATTACCCAGCCTTAGTGATCCCACAGAAAATTGTGTAATGGTGCATTGTATTGTATGAAAATCGTGAAAAAACAGTCATTTTTTAAAATGTTGATGCGTCATCACATGTGAATGTCATTTTAGTCCACTAACTACCATGTGCTTTCTTAGCCCACGTATACTATTGACTTTATTAGGCATCTCTTACTTTCCCTGTAGATCACAATAGATCACTAAGTCACAATGACATAATCAACACATTCGACAGATGCTTTATCCGTCTGTCACACCAGTGTACTTTTCAGAAATGTGACTAGCATCCATTCTAGTTAAGTCATTTCTGCTTAACGTCAATTTTACCCTGAAGTACACTGTACTGGGGGAAAAACAACTAGCAGCATTGCTCCTTTGTTTCAAAGCACTGTAGATTCGTTGCTCCATGGATCCCGCATCAGTCCTGACATCGCATTGCACACGCAGATTTTATGCCTTCATTTTTAAAAGTCCTAAACCACTGTAACATACCAGCATATTCATTCATTAAGAAGCAGAGTCGTTCTTCGGATGTATTTGCATGTCGTCTCCTGTGTGAGTGCATCTCTCTGCCCCTCCTCCCAGTGAGGTGCTGCGGGGGAGATCCGCGGACCAATGGAAACGCGAGGCTGGGACAGAGGGAATCCTGAGCGCTGCTGTCAGGATCTCAAACAGCGGCGAGTAACGGACCGTCCGCACGCGCACCGAACCCTCGGCCCGGAGGAATATTGAATATTATCAGTACGGGAATGCGAGTCTGACCTGCTAACTTAAACGCAAGGTAAGCAAAATGCGGATGCGTCTTTAATGCATTGCGTGAATTGCGTGTTTTTTTTTTTTTTTTTGTCCTATAAGTTAAAAGCTGGATATAATATGCAAATATCCATTGGAAGCTGGCACAGTGCACATGGACTTACCTTTCAAGATGATCTATCCACATCATAAGCATGCTTTTGATTTGAGGGGTATGGTTATGCCAAAGGATATGTTACCCCTGCTGGAAGCACATCCTGATGGGTATTTTCTGCATGACAAGATAGCCTGCCCCTGGGTCCAATTATTATAATTTTTTTAGATGACTAGTAGGTCATCTTGAGCACCTGTACTAAATGAACCCGTCTGCCTGGCTTTATTTCACAAGACCTTTGCGGCTGTGACATCTTGACAGCACTTGGAAGTTTTGTCACGGAGCACTGGAGCCGTTACGAATTTGAGGGCTTAGCAGGGACCTCTGATCCTTGGAGCAACTTAAGTTAACGAATAATTGACTGCTGACTGTGAAAGCATCTCCTGGACAGGGATGTGCTAAGCGGAATCACACTGACCAGTTATGGTGCAAGATGGATGATAAAGGTCTGCAGATTGAGCTAGACCAGGGGTAGGCAAGTTCGGTCCTAGAGAGCCGCAGTCCTGCAGAGTTCAGCTCCAACCCTGAAAACAAAACTCACCTACCTATAGCCTTAGTAATCCTGAAGACATTGATTAGCTTGTTCAGGTGTGTCTGATTAGGGTTGGAGCTGAACTCTGCAGGACTGTGGCTCTCTAGGACCGAACTTGCCTACCCCTGAGCTAGACTGTCAAAGCATATCATATGTAAAGGCTTTTGAGCTATAATGGTTTTGAGATAAAAATGCAGTATGCATATGTGACCTGGATGAAATCATGTGATTCTGTGAGAAGGTATTGATTAAAATTTGTCTCCTTGGCCAGTTTGTTGCACGAAAGCTATGGGCCGTGTACATGGAGAGTTAATGAACTCATTTGATATAGGATCTGAAAAAGGTTTGGGATGATAAGGGTGTGTTTTCTGGGTCTTCAAGGCAAATGTTCACTAAGCAATTAGTATTTAAATATTAATTCTTCTCAGTGTGACTCATTTGAACAGCTATTATCAGCCTATTTTTCATATCACTGGTGCATATAGTTTAATTCAAGAGAAGTCGGTCAAAATATGATAAACGTCATAAGATCATTTGCATTGATCTGTTGTTTGATGTCTTGATGGTACTGGCTTGCCAGTGTGCTGTGTAGTTTCTGTAGCTCGAGCAGAGGCGAATTGAATAAGTAGGTTAACTAACTGCTCATTGACTCAATTATATTTCGCCCTTATTTAGAAAAATGACACGTGAACTGCTAAGTTTAATTCATTTTTCTCTGCTGGCATAGAGGCTTTTGCTTGGGGGGGAAAGAGAAGATACACCTAATTGTTGGGAAAGAAAAAAGGGATCAGAGCTAATTACGCCAAGATAAATGATTTGGTTATTTATATCCTCCAAATCCGTTTAATTCTTATCATTGTCAAAAAAGAGAATAATAATAATAATAATAAAAAGCCTGAGATAATGGAAGCGTATTTATGAGTACACGATTATGTGTTTTATCTAATGGTAAAGTCTGGCGGGTGGGATTTTTTTCAGCGTCACTGAGGTTATGTTGGAATCCTTCTATTTTTCAAGTTACTTGCTAATTAAAGTTCATTCTATTATAGCCAAATGAGAGCAAAAATGTTTAATTTAGGTTTGAGACTGGTGCGGAGCAAGCAAATGCCTTTGCTGTTGACTTTTCCTCCCTCAGCAGTAGACCATTGCCTTAACACTACTGCCCTGCCTACTTATAAAGTAAGCCTTTGGGGAGTTACACTGCAGGCTATCTGCCTGTCCATTTTTATTTTGACCACCACTGTGCAGTTTGTAGCAGCTAAACAGACAGTACCTCATGCTCTCAAGGCACAGAACAGTTCATTCAGCATTTTCACACATATTGATGTAAGACCTCATCTTTACTCGTATTCAGAGAGTAGTTATCCCCTGTGAGATTCCTCCTCTAGCTCCTGATTCCTCTTGATTTAACTCAAGCACAACGCCGTAGCAGTATCCAGACACACTGATTACGAAGATTCTCTGCCATGAGGCTATGGATTTATCATTGGGCCTCATTTACAAGCAGAATGAACTATTCAGAGGTGGCTCTAATGTAAATTTTTGGATTGTTGAAAGTGACCATATTCTTAAAATGTTAGTTGAAATTAAAAAAAAAAAAAAAATGCACACCTACTCTCAACCATATGTAAATGGGGCATAAAACATATGAGGAGAGTACAAGGTCTATTGTACGTGACAATTACTCAAATTTGTTTAAAAATGCAACATACTCGTTGTGCAACATAAGACCGCTTTCAGTCTGACCACACAGCATCCCATAGTAAAAAGGCCATTTTGCATTTTGGTTATCAATACAGGAGTTTACGGGTATCTGAGTGCTTTATGAGCCAGTCCTGAATATAGAAGGAAACGTATATGTCCAGAGCATTTTCTATGGCTTATATAATTAGGTTCAGTAAAGAATGCTCTACTTCTCAAGAACCATTTTTAGCTGTATGGGTTTTTTTTTTACTATATGGTTCTTTGCAGATAAAGTTGTAGGTTCTTGAGATCAGCATGTTGGTTTCTGGGCTATTTAAAGCATCAGATGTTTCTCTAAAGTAGGGGTTTTCAAACTTTTTACTGCTAAGGATTTTGAAGAGTCCCACAGACTAAAATATAAAGAATCTGTTTATATTGTCATGTATATAGACGTTATCATATCATATCATATCATATCATATCATATCATATATCATATATCATATCATATCATACTAATAATTAAATTTAATTTATTAGCTTTTGTGTGGCATTACATTGAGGCCAAATCCAATTATTGAAAATTATCTGGGAAATATCTGATTACTTTAACAAATTTGCAATGCTACGTTTTAATGTTAAGTATTTTGACTAAGACTCTTATTATATTATATTATATTATATTATATTATATTATATTATATTATATTATATTCAAGTATTTTCTATAAATTCTTCCATTTATTTATTTATTTATTTATCCATTCATTCATTCATTATTTAGAACCCAACAATTAAACAAAAAGTATATTATATTCATCAAGTTTGAAAATGGAGCATTCAAAGTTCTTTACAGACCTGTGATGTCAGGCTGTAGAACAGTTTTGGATCTGTCATTGCCTTTATTTTTAAGAGTGTATGTGAGAAAGTGTTAACATTTGCAGGAAAGGTGCTGCCGTTTTGCCTGCTGATGTGGTTGCTTTTCTGTAAGATATTTTTAGGACTATTCTGGGTGGTGGGAATGGCTCTGATCAGCCTTGCCTATGACTAAGTGCCATTCATAGACACATGAGGAGTTGGCAGGCATTGTTTGAGTGGTAAGTAATTATTATAATCATGCTGGTGGTCTGTTGTAAGGGTCTGTCTAGAAATGACAGAATAAAATAATTTTGATTCCTCTATGGAAATTCATAAAAATAAATTTCCAAGACTGCAAGGAACTCACTGGCATGTTAAAAAGAAAACAGATGATTAGTTGAATGGATAATTCATAATGGAAAATGATCACGTACAACAGTCAGAATATTATCTAACATTTTGATGGTCTTCAAAACCTATTTGTCTATTCCAAAAAAAGGAAAAGGGAAACACACATGAGCCGCTAGAGGAAAAAATGATGTAATGTGTGGAAAGATTTGAGTAAGCATCAAACGAGTCCAATGCATCAGGGTACAACAATACATGGCTGGAAGCTTAAAGATGCAGTGGATAATTGGCACAAATGTATCTGCGTGAAGAAAATGAATTACATTTTTGTCAATTCGTTTTGATATTCTCTGTGATCTGGTTCTGCATCGGCCCTTTTCACCCCACCGTCCCATCCCAGCTAAGCTGCAAACCTACCAAGCTTTAGCTGGGCTAGTACTGCAGTGCTCCTGAAGCACAGTGCAGAGAAACGGGCACATCAGAGGAAGACTGAAGAGCAAAGTGAATGGAGTACAAGTGCAGAGAGTGTAGAAGGGAAGAACTGAGAGGGTGGGGGATATAGTAGAAGAGTGAAACATGGCTCTGCATGATTGTTGTTGCTGTTGCACAAGCTTTGCATACTCTAAACATAGTAGGATATTTGCATTTACTGAATTATGAAGATTGAGAGTGATTATGTACGATTGTGTGCATGCACATGTGGGGTTTATATACACTTTCTCTTTGTTTGCTCTGCAAATGGTCTGGATTTTATAAATGGTTTTAATCATGGATCAATAGACTTATGAGAGGATATGCTCATCGCTATAATTATGTTGTTATTATGAGATCTGCCCTGCACTCATGGTCTGAACCCTTTTTCACCTGCATCTCAGACTGCAGCTCAGAAATATGATTATAACTGTCCCAAAGGGCTCTCTGGCGTCTGTTTAATACACAGTGGGGTTCAGAAGTCTGAGACCACCAGTGAAGATGCTTGGGTTTTGGATTCATTTCTAATTTAATGCATTACAAATGATTGAATTGAATGTCTTAACCGCAACACAATAAAGCAACAAAACTAAAAGCTATATATTCAATGTTTTTGTCCTAACCAACCATGACAAGCAGCAGGATATTCTGTTAACTTCCAGTTTTATATTTGTGAAGGACTATGCTGGCTCTTGTGTAGGTATTGGCACGTAACACTTGCAGGTACAAAAATGTACCTTTTTGCATGTTTGAGTATGCTGAAATGCACAATATGGATGTACTGATAGCATCTAAACTGTAAGTTTAATGTATTTTATCTATCTATCTATCTGTCTGTCTGTCTGTCTGTCTGTCTGTCTGTCTGTCTGTCTGTCTGTCTGCCTGCCTGCCTGTCTGTCTGTCTGTCTGGGCCCCACCCACAGTGAAATCTCATTGGCCCAAAATTATGCTCTGCATAACTATATATTAAACATCAGGGCCC